CCCCCCGTCCTCTTCTCTCACGTCTGCAGGCTCCCGGTTGCACAGCCCCGTCTTGTTGACGAGATCCAGCACAGCCGTCGCGTCGTCGTCAGAAATCACCAGGTGCACCGGGTTAGCGGACTCAGAGATCTGGAAACAGAACCGCGGCTTCTTGTCCATCTCCGCACCGTTGTTGCCCAGCGGCCCCTCCATAACTGGTCTGAGCGCACCCACCCCTGGGACCCACCTGTCAAATGACGTCACGCCCATTGGCATGCCGATAATGCGAAATAAAACATGTGTGTGTGTGCGTGAGCTTCCCGAGGTGTCTCTGAGAATCACGCTCCGACTGGAGTACGGTCGTGGCCAGGCCAGCTCAACTGTTCCTCTGTTCTGCGCATCACAAACGCGTACGCGCGAGTATGTACGGATGACGGATGGAACTGCTGCACGGACGCGCCCGCCCTATCAGACGTCAGCGTGCCATGCTGAGAGTGGCGTGTGCCCACGGCAGGTTCTGCCTTGGCGTGGTCCTGTGCACAGCCCCATTCGCCCCGCTACCTGTCTCTTCCGGTTTCCCGTCTGTTCCCAGAGAAGTCGTCGCCCGTTCAGCCTTATGAGTCCATGCGCAAAGACGACGACCGTCACAAACGACGACGACTGCCGAAACATGCCTCCCAATCCCGCTCTTGCCCATCTGCGTCATCCTGCTCCTGCATTTATGCAGATGTCAGCATTCCCACGCCTCCGGTGGGTGATTACCCGCGCTTCCGGCACAATGTTGTTGATGCTTCTACACTCCCAACGCTTTCGAATTATATTCCACACATCCGAACATATCACGCAACCACTCACTTGGATAAATCTACCAGCTCCATCCAGGGGACGCTCCTGAATCCCCCCTCGTTGTACCAAAGCCCGAACTCCTCGAACGTAAGGTTTGTCCTCCCTTTGTAGACAGATTCGGGGTCCTCAAACAACGCCTCCAGAGTGAACTCCGAAGACCGGTCCACAATGGCCCACATCTGTTGCATTTAATCGTTGTACGATACAGGCGGTAGCGATAGGGTGGCGGGCGTGGGCGTGGGTGTGGGCATAAGAAAAGGGGGAGCAGGCGTCCGCCACGGCAGCCGCAGCAAACATGGGTAGGGGTGAAACAGAGGAGAGAGGGGGAGTGAAGTGGTTGCGCGGTTATCCCGTAGCACGGTCGATCGGAAAAGCGATGTCGCGACGTGCTCGAGACCAGATTTGGCTCTCAGCATGCACACGCCATATTCGTAGCCTACTTTTGCAGTGCGGTGAGACGCCATACTGATGACCAAGAACACATCGTGCTCACGCGTAAGCCTATTTATTCAAGCTGTCATGACTCCACGGCAACCCATACAATGCCCTTCCAACTCCCCCCTTGACCAACACATGACAGGGGACAAGATGAAGCAAAACATGTTTAGTTTCCCACCCTCTGCTCCTCCACCAACGCTCCGCGAAGGACACACAATCCCCCCCCCCCCCCCCCCCCCCCCCCCCCCCCCCCCC